GCAGCTCTCTACATGCTTGGATGGAAGGGTGACATCTTGCAAGTTCGGTGCGAAAAGTGCAGGCCAAACACCGTGGAGGACCTTCTTGATCAGCCGAGTGGCGGCTTGCCAGCGGTGCTGTTCAACATATTGAGCATAAAGCTCTGTCGTCGCAGTGAACGACATCTGAGACATGGTGGTAATGGAGCTCGATGCCTCGTAAACCATTTCCTCAACCGTGGTCTCGGACATGACCGTTTCAGAACTGAAGGACTGCATGACCTCCTTCGATGTGGACTCGATGCTCTGCTGTACCTCTTTGAAGCTCGACGTCTGGGTGCGGTTTGTGCTCTTGTAGTATTCAGAGCAGTGCTTGAAGACGGTCAGAGCCAAGGTGGAAATGCCGACCACCTTCATCATCTTTGCGATTTCCTGGAAGTAAGAGACCGAGGTATCAGAGATGGTAAGACTAGTCTGCTCATGCTCCTGCCAAGCACTGGACAGAATGGAAGCGGCCTGGTATTCTTTCTTCTGAGACTTCAAGAAATGGGAGTAAGCAAGAACAGACGCCAGCTTCCTCTCTTCCCACAAGGCGGTCATGTTGGTGCGGCATTCCTTGTTCACGCGCTGCCAGATTTCGACGTAGATGCGCTCCGCGAGGTCAAACTTGCCCTGCGCAGTATACTGCTCGGCCTCCTTGATCATGGCTTCAAAGTCGAAGGACTCGGACCGTTCAATCAGAAGGTCATGTTCTTCAATCTCCAAGAAGTCGTTGATTCTGGTCTGGACAACCTTGCCGCGATGTCCCCTGACGCGCACTCCCCAGTCACCATGGTATTCACGTGACTCAATGCTCTGCTCTCCGACAGTGAGGATCTTGATGTGTTTGCTGATCTCCTCGGCCCTATGGAAGTCCTTAATTGTTTGATAGTGCTTGACCAACTGCTCCCGGGTGGAGATGACCATCTTGTGGGATTCGCCGTACAGCTTTGTGTAGCAAGTAACAAGGAGATTAAGAGTCTCTTCGCGCATGGTCATAATCTCCGTCTTGCTCTCCGTAACACGACTCACGGTCAGCTCGAGGAAGATGTTGGCCAATTGTGCCGTGAAAGACGGGCTGTTGACCAGCAGTTCGCGGCTCAGGCGGGTAGCCTCGAACAACAGGGGCGTCGCCTCCGGAATATATTCAACGTCGCGGAAAAATAGCGCGAGGTTGATGATGGATTGAAGAGTTACCCTATCCTTGGGGTTCAGAATCTGGCGGCAAATAGTAGTCACCGTGGTCTGGTAGCTCAACAGCTCAGGAGTGGGCCTGTTCGCCCAGAGAGCCCTCTGAAGCAGGAGAACGGTAATCGAAGTCGGCAGCACCTTGGCAAACTCCTTCGCGGCACCTGTCTCACCCTGGTTGACAAAGACGGTCGTTTGTCTCAGATGAGACACCCAGTATTGAACCGCAAATTCAAGCAGAGGGTACCTGCTGACCAGCGAATCCGTTTCGTGGCCGATAAGAGGGGAGAGAGAGGGCTCCTTGCCCTGCGGCTCAGTCACGTACGACTTGATATAGATCAACAACCTAGTCACAAAGTCGGCGTGACGGTCCTTGACGTTGGGGATCAATTTGCCTTTGGAGAAGATCTCCAAGACTGCTTCGCGAATGAGACCGTGACGAAGGTAGACCTGCCCGTCCTGGAAAAATACCAAAGATTTGACAGGCCTAAGGACCTTGCGTGGTTCGACCTGGTAGCCCTCGGCAATTGCCAATTTGTCAATCTGGATAGAGGCCAGAGTCTGCAATTCCTTAAACAGAAGAGGGCGGTCAGCAGTTGCGAGCCACAGCAACATCAGGCGAGCCTCATCGGTTACGCCCTTATGCTGCACCGTTTCGAGGACGAGGTTGGTGATGGTCATCTTAGCGTTCACGACATCATCCACCGCCTTGTTCAGGTTATCGGCATTATCCGCGCTGCGAACGCGCTTCGAGGCAAGCTTGGCCCACAGGAATGAGCCCTTTGAGGCTTCGGTGATGCGATCCACAATTGCCTCCTGCTCAATGTCATCAAGCTCAGGGAAGATCACGCTCTCCCTGTCCTTAAGGAACTGGCTCCGCACAACGGTAGAAATGTCATCGAAGATTCGCTCATCCGTGACCGGCACAGTGTGATGGCCTGATGTCTTAGCCGGCGTCTCGGCACCCAAGGCGATCAACTTCACGTTTGTGCCCTTCATTGTGGCAGCGCTCAGCTTCTGTAGCAGTACGGATTCACCGCAGGAAGCCTCGTCAATACCATCGACAACAATGACCAGGTCCTTAGCACCTTGAAGTGCGGCACCCAATGCATTCTCCAAAGCATTCCAGAGGATGTTATCGTAATCATTATCGTTCGTAGCCTTTTTGCTGCGTTGGAAGGCATCAGTCAGAATTTGGAGCAGCTCGACGTTTCCAATGCGCTTCTCGAATAGCTGCGACAGAATGGCCTTGACGATAGCCCGGGGCCTAGTCCCGGCAGGAAGACGAGCATCTACCTTATGTTAGTTTGGATCAGAAAGACCAACCTCTCATTGGACTTACTAATGGGGACAAACAGAGTCTTGTAGGGGACTCCGCGGATCGCGTGTTGCAGATTGTCAACAAGAACAGATGCCAGAACGGTTTTACCGGAGCCTGGCTTGCCCACGATGGACAGGACCTTGTCTTCACTTGTTAGGAAGTCAAATAGAGCCTGCTTGACCCAGCGGCAGGTATTCTCCTCGCGGTCATGGGCAAGGTGTGAGACGGTTTCGGCAACGTTGGAGAGGACACGGTCCTCGGGGCTGAGCCAGGATCTGACAGCCCTAACATCGGCGACTGGTGGTTCGGGCAATGTCAGTTAATATTTTGACATCAGAAAGAGGGAAGGAAGCTTGCCTTTGGTCTCATCACCGCGTTCCTTCACAAGCTGGTGCTTCCACATGGACTCGCTAATCTCTTCGCAAGCACGGCGAAATTTATGAATTTGCTCCGGGAAAGCCTCGTAGATGTTGATGTACTCCCACTCATCCCCTAGGCGGGAAACGGCTGTATGGAAGCGCATGGCCACACTGGCGATCAAGTGCACCAAGTCCTCCAGTGCCTGGACCAGCTGCCGGCGGATATCACTACTCACACTGAAAAGCCCTGTCCGCTCGAGAAGGTTTCCGAGGGCTGTGGAGTTGCTGTAGAAAAAGCCAAATGATGTCATCAAAGCGGGGGCATTCTCGTCACCGAGCTAGAATGAACGACCATTAGCGTGATCCTTGTGTTCGGATCAGGCGAGCATACCTTGAGAAGGCGAAGGCAGTATCCGTAAGCCATCTGGAAGGCAAGACCGCTGACGTTGGTGAAGCCCTCAATAGCCTCTTCGAAGGACCGGAGTCTCGTAACAAAGAGCTGCGCCCAGCCGAGGACCTTGTCATAGTTGCTGCCGTCGGGGGGCACAAGTGTCATACGCTCTTCCTGAATCCAGGACAGGACCCTCTCATATAAGTCACCCGAAAGGGTCAAGCCCAGCTCATCGCCGGTCTCGCGCTGAAGGATAGATAGCTTCCTGGAGAATTCCGTCTCCTGAGGGTCGAGTCTGCGAGACGACACCCTCCTGGAAGTAATTGAGCGAGACATGCCATTGTTGGACATTGTATCACTCTCCGCGAATCCCGAGATACGTCTGGGCATCTTGGGGGAGAGGGGGGAAGCAAAGCTGCTAGGGACGGGGGACAGGATAGATGGAGCCATTGTGATTGTTTGAGTATCAGCAAGATCTGGTGTTTCTGTGGGCCTCGAAGGTGGTGTTTTCTTCACGGGAGAAGGAGTGCGAGTGAGTTGTGGCGACTGCTTGGGGTATCTGGAGGGGGTGACTGTAGGCCGTGGAGGAAGGTCAGGCTCAGCAGAGGTCTCTCCGGAGATGCAGCGGCAACAACTCACTATACAAGAAAAATAGCGACGCAAAACGGCAACCTAACACATGGAAGAACAAAGGCTTTGATTAAGAGGTTAATCCTCGTATCAGTCTGAGGGAGAGGAAGACCGTTCTCTGTGGGAAGAAAGATCACTTAAATAAGGAGGAAAAGCAAAGACAAAAACCCTAGACAGGGGGCTGGATTGGGTTACCGGGGGCTGATGCAATGAGGTGGGCTGGCGTGTGAGCACGATTCATGAGCAAGCAATAGTGGCAAGCTTAACCCCCCATCCACGATGATACCTCTTGCAGCATAGCGTGGCTGAGAAGAGTCTGATCCCGATGGGTCCCTCTGTATCTTTGGCCTCTCAGCACCGCCAGAACGGCTGAGAATTCCAAATCAAAGTTTCTTTCGGAGGGGACCAATAGAGAGACTACTGTTAATGGGGTTGCAAAACCCATGTCTTTGACTCTTTGCATCCCCTCTGACGATCAAAGTTTGGACTCCATGAAATTGACATCACGAATGCAGGGTATTCGCCGCCGGGCACCTGCAAAGGGAGATGGAGGGGGAACTGCTTCGTGATGACACGATGAGCGTATCAGAAAGGAAGGTGAACCCTCTGCGCAGTGCATCCCAGCCTACTGCATATCGACTACTGTCCCATTTCTTGACCATGCGGACGGGATGGGCAGTGGAGCAACACAGGCCAGTCTGGACGAGTGCAATGTCCCTCTCCACATTAGCACCGGCGTCCCGGGACTTTCTGTCATTCAACACGGGCCATATCCCGTATGGTGCCCACACCCACGAGCAGCGGCAGGGGCAGGCGAATAGAGGTCACATTGGGTCTCGTGAATTGCTCGTGGCGGCCGTTTCCAGCTACTTTGACTAGCAACTCGGAGTCTCCGCTGGACTAGAGCTGAGCTCCTCCTTGTGCTAGTTACCCTTTCTGGCTGCATAGTCTATTGAACAGCTATGATCCTTGCAAGGGCAAGAGTTCAGCTGTGGCTGCCTGAGGGGTAGAGAGAGGACGTGATCTCCCGACTGGGGCGGAGGGGGCTGGATGGGCCCAACTCTCCGATTGGGGCCAATGGCAACGAACGAATGTCGGATAGTGGGCAAACCCGCATCGTCCTGACGAACTGCCGATCGAGGGGACGGACGCGGATTGGATGAATCCTTCTCAGCTGGCAGGACTCGAAGTGATCATCGTGGTATGTAAAGTCGATACCATGCCAGTATTCTGTATGTTAGAATTAGTTCGGCTACTCAGCAGGCAGAGAGGGTTCCACCGGGCTGAAGACGGGATAGATGGTTGCCTACCTCGGACAGACAATCGGTTTAATCATCAAACTGAGCCGGTAAATACATTTGCTTAGGTTTCCTGTCTAGCTGAGTAACTATGTTGATACACGATCCGGTCCTCCATCAGAAACCAGTGTTAGCACCATTGCCGTGCGCTGGACGACTGGGAGATCCATGGTTGGCAAGCACACACAGACTCCCGGCTGAGGAACCGCCCCGGCCCGCTTAGCGCGGTGGGTTGCACGATCCGGAACCTCCGCAGCAGCCAGTGCAGAACCTGTATGTAATTTTGGGTTGATGACCAAACAGAGCTGTTTTAGCTCAGGAGAGTGTAGGAAGCGTCTGATCCTGACCAAGTTGGGATTGACGTTCCTGATTTGGCCAATGTACAGGCCGCGTAGTCCCCGACGCACCAGGATGGAACCCCGAAAATTGCAGGCAGGAGTCATGATTAGCCGGATCAAGAGGGATACATTAGTTTCATGGAGCCCGTGGGATCTCGGGGCAATAAGCAGATCTGATTCAGCCAGGAGGCATGGCGGGTGGGTCGGTATGGATGGACGGAAGAACCTCGTCATTCAGCTGGAAAGAGAGATCGGAGATTCACGATGGCTTGCAATCCGCGGCGGGTGGATAATTTTGGCTCCCACGTGACGGTTCAGCGAGAAGGCTCGATCCAGTTATCGGTAAGGGACACGGCGCCATTGCCGGTGTCTCGGGGTGAAAAGCGGACGGAATTGACCGAAGGGGAATATTGCAAGACCATCAAAGGGTGGCAGGCACCTGGCAGGCACCTGAAAGCTGCCAAGTGGTGGATTTGTGACCTAAAGTTTACTCCATAGTTCGTGCCTTGTTCTGTCAAGAGGGGAGAGATGTTCGAATCGTCATGGCGAAGCGACCGAGGACGGACCAAGGAACGAAAGCACGGGATCCATCCCTGGCGGAAGCGATCGATCCTCGTCGTGCCTGTTGCAGTCTAGCGTCCGAATGGTTCCAGTAATGCGGGAACCAACACTGACCCTGACAGGCCCAGCCTGTCCTGTCCGCATGTTCATCCAACTTTCAAAGTGGAGATGATCTTTTTATGAGCGCAGGATGGGGTATACACTATACAGTATTTTCTTGCCACACTCTGTTCCCAGTACTCTGGCACTCACCATGTCCTTGATGTCGATCATGTCGGAAGAACTGAAATCTCTCCTGCTAGCTACAGCAAAGCGCCCAACTCATCTCGGGTCTGCGTCGTCTATCATTCCCTACCTACGGACGGGATACCACCAACAGCAAGGGGTCCACTTACTTGCAGATGCTCCAGTGCTCGAACAAGATTCAATCATTAACTCAACTCAGCTACCCCACTCGCAAAACTCCGGCTGAACAGGAGGATGCCATGCTCGTGGCTACTGTGGGAGGTACTCTCGAGTACTGCTGTGGTTTTGCAGGCAGACAGACAGGACATACCCAGTTTGCAAGAATTGGGTGTGGTCGATGATTTCATTGAAACCATCAATTGTATGCAACCACATTAGATTAATTTGATGGGTGGTGTTCTGCATAGAATGTGTCAACTGTCAATTAGTAGAGTCAGGTTACACAAAGATCCTGTCGAGTGACTGCTGCGGCAGCCAGTGCAGACAGAATGCAGATGCAGACAGAACGCAGATGGAAATGGAGGTCTCGCGTGGTATTTGCTAGCACTGGAGTGCCCGGCAGCAGTCACGGCAAGTATGGATTCAGCATTCCAACCCACCCGCCCTCTAAACTATCACACACTATCTATCTACTTCACTTGAAGAAGATTGTAGAAAGGTGTTACTAGAATTCCATAGTGAGGCAAAGGTTCAAACTACGCCTATTGTAGAAGATTATTGTTTGTCAGTAATACCCCGTATTTGGAAAGAACATGGGTGTGATCATGGGTGCGATCAACATTTCGGAGTCCCCGTATACCCATTTTGAATATATATCTCCACCTCAGAATACAATGGATGCATCGTCGTCATGCTCGGCTAATCCCCCAACCTGATCTGAAGATCCAGCAACTTTGTCTAGAAAAAGCAATAAATCCTACTAAAAGCATTATGCTGTTTTCACAAACCCATAGTAGTGAGTATCCGCGATCGATCATCAAAAGGAATGCAACCTAGTACTACAGTACGGAGTACATGCGCTGTAGACAATAGGATATATCAGAAGTACCCTACGAATAGACATACAATACTACTCACGTATCAAATACACCACAATGATGCTATACTTCCGTAACTATTAGCTATTTCCATCTCGGATCCTGTCACATTCTTCCCCATCAAAAGAAGCAAAACTTCGCGACGACGCTAAACCATCGCCGTTTCAACGCTACTGCTGGACCAGCACTATCTATGCAACCCCAAAACACTGCCTCCACAGTCAGACGCACAAGTCAGAATGTAGCCTTCAGTCCAGCATGGCACAAATGCTAGCACTGTCCCATAAATGGGTCAGACTACCGTAGCTAGTAGATTAATATAATATCTGACTGATCGCCCCAATAGACTGAAGTAGATTAAGCTGAGTCTACCCCTTACTTAGTCACCTTTTCCCTCCACCAGACGGGATTTCTTCGGAATTCGATCCATTCAACATCATAAGGTATGCGATTCTCAATTTCTCGCCGTGTAGCAGTGTTGTGCTTAGTGGCTGCCTTGACGTGTCACTCTGGCCGGCATCACCGCAGGAGGCGCAATCAGCTGGATGGGGATGGTTGGACCTTCGGGGCACCAAGGTGCTTAGGATGGATGCTGTGGGTGTGATGCTGAACCCTGGGTTGGTTGGCTGGCTGACCGCCGGGTCTAGATGCCGACAAGCTCGTTTGCTTCTTTACTAGGTGTATCACTGTGGTCGCTGGATGTAAAATTCCACGGAGTCGCCGAATCTCACGATATCCACCATTGTTATTATTGACAGGTCCCTCGGTCGGATTTATCACAAAAAGAAGCATCCTAATAAGCCACCGCATTCAACGCATGTGGATGGTATCCGTGACTGCGAGCAACCAAATCGTCGAAGTTGTCGACGGTCTCCTTCATGACATCCGTACCTACAGTAACATAACAACCAGCCGTCAGTATCGCATCTTCAGAACCCACCGCATTAATCAGAATGGCACAAACTCACCCCACATGAAATCCTGCCAGGATTTATCCGCCCAAAGATCCGGATTCTTCCCAGGGCCGCGAATAGCCTCGTCGCGCTTGCGCTGTTCCTCGCCATCCGGCAAATGCAGCGCTTTCCGTGTTACTGCCGCACTCTTCTGGATCTGTTCGGCGCGATCCTTTCGTACCCGCTCATAAACCGCCAATGCGCTATCGATATTGTCCGTCAAGGCCAACACACACCCGAGCACCCCAGCATCTTCGATCGCCTGCGCCGCTCCCTGCGCCACATACGGCAGCATAGGATGGCACGCATCGCCCATCAGAACCACGCGATTCTCAATCCACGTCGGCAGCGGAAAATGCGAATTCAGCGTCCACTCCATCACCTCCCCATCCGGAACATAACTCAATAAATCGCGAACGAGTTCATTCCACTCGGAATAAAATTCCTCCATCTCCCGTTTATCTCCCTTATTCGTCCAGCTTTCCTCCGTCTCCGCGCCTTCTTTCTGCGGATGCAACAACACCATATTATACACGGTATTGTTCTTCATCGGATACGCCATAATATGGCCTCCCGGTCCCATCCACCGCATCCCGACATTCTTTTTCAGTAACTCCCGCGCCCGCGGATCCCCTTTCAATTTATCCTCAGGGATCTGGATCCGGTACGCCGCATCCCCGGTCGGCCGACAAATATCCTGAACGCCATGTTGCGCCGCCATCTGGTGTCGCAGATCGGATTTGATCCCATCCGCCCCGATAACAACATCCCCGGATACCCATTCCCCGGTATGAAGCTGCACGCGCGCAGAGAAATCGGGCGCCGCACAGACAACTCGCGAGTCAGTTCGAATGGGGATATTTTCCGACCGTACCGCCTCAAGCAGGATACTTTGCAAGTCGCCGCGATGGATGACTGCAAGGGGAGCGTGATACTTTTCTCCGACCTACACACACATTAGCCTCCCCACCCACAATGATCAAAGGTAAAGATATGGTATAACATACAGAAGGCATCAACTCCGCCTTCCCCAGCTCCTCATCATTCTTATACCGTCGGAGAGAATTCATCTCCAACACATTCGCCTTCTCCATGACCTTCTCCAGTAGACCCAAGCGACCGAGAATCCGCGCTGCATTCGGCGCCATCTGGATGCCCGCCCCGACCTCGGCGATTTCCCGCACCCGTTCGAGGATGGTCACTTTGTGGCCGGTTTTATGGATCGCCAGGGCGGCGGAAAGGCCTGCGATGCCAGCGCCGACGATGAGGACATGCAGGGGTTGGCCCTTGATGCGGGGGAGCTGGAAAGTGTCTTTGTAGGTGTCCATGATGACTTCGTAGTATCTTGTGTATGGTGCAGTTAATTATGGTTTCAAGTTATTCGTAAAGAGAGAGGTAAGTGAGCTGTACTTATACAAAACCAACGCAGTGACATCATGGCTACCAATTCAATCCTACCCCTTGTGCAACATCAGTCGGTTAATACGTCGGTAGTATCTCCCAACATATCTCCATATATCCATGACACCGTACCTAGATGTGATTCCTCACTCGGAACACATCTCAGGAGTCACTCTTACAATAATCCCCCAACATAGCTCCACAGCTTTATAACAAGCAGGAAACCTGACAATATCAAGAAGTGGAGATGCGGATCGCCCGGAAGGAATTTGACTTCTGACTTTCCATAGAGTTATCGGCACCCGAGTTCGGGATGTATGTTTGCTGTTTTTGGGTATGATGTCATTCCGTATTTCAGCATCTTGCATCTATGATTTAGTACTGTGAGTGGTATTCGAACTACAATCCGGATGGAATAGAAAAGAATTTATATTATAGTGGAGCCCTTGAAGCTGAACTTGTTATCTTTATATATGTTGAATTATATGAAAGCAGGTTCTCTATGCTGTATATTAGGAGTGGAGGACTTATCCCGTAAGGAAGATGACAACATGTATGACTTGAACAGGAGATGTATCTTGCATTGAAAAGTAGTAGTAGTAGTAGTAGTAGTAGTATCTTCAAAATGAAATAAAACGCAAAAGGATATATATACGCCAGTCGTAATACATGAACATAAAGCCAACACCAAATCAATCACTCCGCCGAACGTCCTCCATAATCTAATCTACTAGTCAAGCATCACAACTGCTTCTTTCCCCCCTCAAATACCAACCCATCCAAATCTCCATGTTCCGCAAACCACACATCCTTCAAGTAATTTCCCCTTGACACCCACGGCCCCCGATCTGCCGCCTTGGGCAACGCCCCCGACGCCCGGGTGATATACGTCGAATTCAAATTCAACAGTGGCCGCTCCTTCAAGCTTCCCGCCTCTCCCGGCTGCAACCGTGGAACAGCCGCCTTCACACCAGCCGCCTCCAAGTGCTTCAACAGCCGACAGATAAACAACGCCGTAGCGTCGGCACCCAACGTCCACGACGCATTGGTGTACCCAATCACGAACGCTGCATTGGGCAGATCCTGCATCATCATGCCATGCCAGAGGAACTTGCTGGGGATGTGGATGGGTTCACCATCGACAGTGACGGAGGCGCCACCAGCAATAAGCAGTCTCAGACCCGTGGCAGTGACGATGATGTCCGCGTCGAGGGAGTCGCCGGAGGAGATCTCGACGCCGGACTCAGTGACGGTGGAGATAGTGTCGGTTTTCACGTCGGCGTGGCCGGTGTGCAGGGCGCGGAAGAAGTCGCCGTCTGGGCAGATGCAGAGACGCTGGTCCCAGGGGTTGTAGCGGGGTTTGAAATGCGGGGAGTGGGAGACGTGAGCGGGGAGTTGGCTGGAGACGGAGAGACGGAGAAGGAAGCGCGCGACTGTAGGGAAGGTCCGGCAGAAGAGGAAGAAGAGGTGGCCGCTGATGAACCAGGTAATGCGCTGGATGCGGCGCGAGATGGCGGCGGGTAAGATGTAGCTGTACCACGAGCGGTTGCGGTTGGGCAGGGAGAGGATATAGGTTGGGCTGCGCTGCAGCATGGTTACTTGCGCGGCCTTCTCGGCCAGCTTGGGAATCAGAGTGATAGCTGTGGCACCGGAGCCGACGACTACGATCTTCTTGTTGCTGTAGTCAAGGTCTTCGGGCCAGAATTGAGGATGGATGACTTCCCCCGAGAAGCGGGAGAGGTTCGGGATATCGGCTTCGAGAGGTTGTCTGTAGTCGTAGTAGCCGGTGCCGAAAATGACGAACCGTGCAGTCAGGGCGCGTGATTGCCCGTCATGGTCGACGGTCAGGGACCAGAGCTGGTCGGAGGAGGACCAGTCGGCGCCGAGTAGCCGGTGCTGGTAGCGAATTTTCTTGTCGATGCCATATTTGTGAGTGGCACGGTGCATATATGAGCGGATGGAGGAGGCCTCGGCGATGGGACTATTACCATCCCAGGGAAACCACGAGAAGCCGAAGGAGAAGAGATCGGAGTCGGAGCGGATGCCGGGATATTTGAAGAAATCCCAGGTGCCGCCAAGAGCATCGCGGGCCTCCAGAATAGTGTAACGATAGTTGGGGAATTGAGATTGAATGCGATATGCCGCATTGATGCCGGAGATACCGGCACCGACAATAACAACATCCAAGTCAGTATCCATGATGGAACAAAGAGCGGTATGATGATGGTGGATGATGAAATGAGCGGTCGTACAGGCTACTTATAACGAGGCATGCAGCTCACATGGCCTCGGCTGCAGGTGCAGCGCAATGATGAGTCCGAGGCTATCCTGATAGATCGCAACCGCCGGCCGTTGGGGCATCAAAAATGGACCTGGCGATCAGCGGCCAATCCCTCCCAAAACGGCAACCCTTGCGACCCTCACATGCGATTGAACCGAATCGGCCTCTTGGATCTTTTGCATTTCAGACTGGGTGGTACAGTGGCCCGTGAAGTCTTAAACTCGCTGTCGCACAGCCAGGATGTAGCCATTACTGTAAACAGCACTTTCTTGAGACCGGTATCCTACCCGATATGATTGCTCCCAAAATCTCGCTCTCTTTGGCGGAGAAACTGGACTTGGTGCCAGCTCTTGCGTCAATTACTTTGACAGTTTTCTGGGCCCTCCTGACCTCCCTTTGGCGTTCTACCGCATACCCCAAGACGCTGGTGCTTCATATTGGCTATGCGGCATTCCGCAAAGCCACGGCCCGCTTGACAGTGGCCCAAATGCAGTATGTTACTTGACCGCAACCAACCCCGACAATGCCCATGTCCACTAACAATGCAGATATGCCCTTCCAACCACGGACCAAAACTACGAACGTTACGTCCGGAAGCACAAGCTACCCTCCAAGACAGTAGACTTGGGTGACGGGGCTCTAGGACATTGGATCGGGGACCCGAAAGCGGACAATATCTTGATTTGGTATCACGGTACGTTCATCCCCTCCTCCCTCCCCCTTCCATCATCCCTCCTCTCTACCACCTTCCACTCACAAAACAAATATAGGAGGCGGCTTCGCCCTCCCCGCCAACAGAGGCTACTTCCAGTTCTTCTTGAACCTTATAACTCATCTGCGGAAATATCACAACAAATCGCTCTCCATCTTCACACTAACCTACACTCTCGCTCCGGGGGCCACTTACCCAACGCAACTCCGCCAAGCAACCTCCGCCCTCCGCCATATTCTAACTACTCACTCCCCATCCCAAATCCTCCTCGGCGGGGACTCCGCAGGCGGGAACCTCGTCGGTGGAGTCCTCTCCCACCTCGCTCATCCCCACCCTCAGATCGCCCCCATCCCTTGTGAAGGAACCCTCCGCGGAGCCATCATGATCGCTCCCTGGACCAGTCTAGCCTCGGACTACACCGACCAGGAGATTGACTCGCGCGGGGACCTGATTACCCCCGCTGTTGCGGGGCCCTGGGCGCAGGCGTATCTTGGATCCGGAGAACGGGACCATTATACGGATCTCTCGAGCGCGCCGGCAGAGTGGTTTGAGTCTTTCCCCGTGGAGAAGGTGTTGGTTTGTGGGGGCGGGAGAGAGATTTTGTTGCCTGTGATTGAGGGGTTTGTGGAGAAGTTGAGGGAGGGATTCAAGGGGGAAATGGAGTTTTGTGTTGGAGAGGGAGAGGGACATGTGGCGCCGATCTATAATTTGTATATTGGCGAGAAAGAGGAGACGGGGCAGGGGATGAGGGTGAGGGGGTGGTTGGGGGAGACTTTGTGATGGCTGCGGTGTACTAGATGTGTTATGGCTGGAAAGGAGCATATATTGCTGGCAGGGGATAGCTTTATTGTTGGTATAAGTTCAGTTGTAGTATTCTTTTTTTTTGTGAACATTTGAATAGTACATATGCAATGAGACATGAAATTGATATATTTTGAGATATGTCAAGACGAGTTGCCACGTAGCAGGCAGTATGTGCCTTGAAAGACTTCTGACATATCATATACACTTTGACCAAGTAGCTACACCGTTTCTTGATCTAACTCCATCAATAAACTCAACTCATGCAATGCATCTTACACAAATCATTATATTAACATTATACATGAATGGCCTAAACTCCAAAACCAAATAAGCCATCATTTACTAACATCATTCTCTTTCTGCCACGCCCTCAACTTGACCAAGTCCTTCGACGCCAACCCCCTCGCCGTCTCCTGCAACCACGTCGGCCACGCCCGCACCAAACTAATCCACCACAATGATTCAGGTAAAACAAGCTGTCCACTCTTCCCTGAGATAATCTGCTTCGCAATAGTACTGCCCACCCTCTCCACCGTCAAAACAGGCTGCTTGAATTCCTTTCCAGCATCTGTGAGCTGCTGAATCATGGGTGTGCGCACCCACAGTGGATGAACCACACTATGTATTATTAGCCTTCTTCCCTGCATCGAAAAGAGAAAAGAGAAGAAAGCTTACCTCGTCTTCACCCCCGTAGTCTTATGCCAATACTTCAACTCCTGCCCCAGCCCCTCATGGAATGCCAACGCACTCGCCTTCGAACAGCTATAGTCCACGATCTCCCCGAGCGACATGAAACTAGCCTGACTAGCCACCGTCACGACATGGCCATGATTCCGCTCAATCATGGCAGGGAGGAACTCCTTCACGATGAGAAAGTGCGAAATCGTATTCACTTCGAATGTTTGTCTGATCTTGGCCTCCGGTTCGTCGAGGATCGTCGCGTCGTTGGCGACACCTGCGTTGTTAACAAGGACTGTTGGATGGCCGTGCTTGCACCGGATTTGTTCTGCCACGGGGTGCAGTGCGGCGGAGGAGGTGATGTCTGCTTTGTAGAAGTGGACGTTGGGTGCTGCTTTATTATTAGTCGCTGAAATATTATAGTGTAGGGAAGGGAGGGCGTACGGAGTTTGAAGGTAGGTTCACTAATGTCGAGAATGATCACCTTCGCGCCGTGCGAGGATAATTCTGTCATGACTTGCTTGCCGATACCACTGCATCCACCGGTTAGGAGGACGAGTTCGCGGGCATTGTCCCATTTCCGGGTGCTGATATTGCTAAGGGATAGCGAGTTGAGGACGCGGTTGGTTTGGCGCAGAGCAGTGAAAGCTAAGATAGCAGCGAGAGCTTTAGGGACCAATGGGTGCAGCAATGCTTGCTGTGCTGGAGGGGGCAGATTGGCCAGGGCAGTTTGAGTCCATTCGTGGACAACAGGAGGGATGAATGACATGATGGTGGTATACAATTCTATTGGTGGTGATTTATTCCAGGTACCTTGATCAAGCTAAGATAAGGTAAAAGTGTGGCAGCCCTTGCTATATATCCCTTCCATTGATGGCCGAGGCTCACATGGCTGAAGATTGTGGCATGAATGCGGCATTCTGTACATTCCACAAACTGAGAACTCCCCAAACGGGAAATCGTTGCGATTGATCCGCGGTTAACTTTCGGACAACAACAGATTGCGGAGATGTTGATCCACTGGTTTGCATTGACGCCGATCAACGGTGCCGATCCCATGTGATTTGTTCCTATCCCCATGAATAAGGTATTGGGGTTGAATTTACTCCATATCTACTCCGTACTAGCCTATCTGATAATGTTGAGCGATGAGGGGTCAACTAGGGCTGATCGTCGGCTCATGGCAACCGAGGCAAGACAGACGCACTTCGGTTGACCCTGGATGATGTCGATCCTCATACTCTTTTTCCGACTGCAATATTTCTCCTCAACATGACTTTCATTTTGAAATTATTCTCTGCGATGTCTGTCCAACATTGTAACACATCATGGACGCTCTCGTGCTGCTGGCAGCGTCCCTCGTAGAGGGCTACCTTCTTCAACACAGTTTACTCCCCGACTGGGCCTTTCGCAGTGTGACGCTGCTCGCACTGGCAGGCAATCTTATTCTCCGATTTGTCTGGGGATTCATTATCTATCCATACTGGGTGAATCCATTGCGTTATCTGCCTACCATACCGGTATACTTGGTACTCTACCTTCTCATTGCAGTAACAGATACTAAAAGTTCCAGGGCAACCTCAATCATGCGCGCGTCCTCTTCGACGACCCCCGCGGCCGTCTCCCACTGCAATGGATGAAAACTATCCCCAACAATGGCCTCATTCATTTCCGCGACATTCTCAACCGCAGCTTCTTGATCGCCACAAACCACCAGGCCCTGCTGGACATCATGAGCACCAACACGTATGACTTCGAGAAGCCCTGGCGCACTCGCGAATTCCTAGCACGGATCATCGGCTTCGGGCTGATTCTGTCCGAAGGAAGTGCACATAAGAAGCAACGTCGGGCGTTGACGCCGTCGTTCAACGTCCGGCATATTCGTGCGCTGTATGCGCTGATGTGGTATAAGACGGGGTTATTGATGGATGAGCTGCAGAAGGAGATGGATGCGAATGAGTCGTGTGTGGAGATGAGTGTTTGGGCGAGGTACAAACCATCCCCTTTACTTTTTAGCAGCCAACATCCCACCTTTAAAATACAGTACTAAGCGACGAATAGTCGTCTAACACTAGATATCATCGGCCCCGCCGCCATGGGCCGCGACTTTCGCTCGCTCCACAACCCCGAGAACAAAGTCGCCGACAGCTTCCTCGCCATTCTGGAGCCAACCCGCGAGAAGATCGCCTTCTTGGCAGTCAACGTTCTCCTCCCGCAGTGGTTTGCCCGGAAACTGCCATGGCGCATGAACAAGGTCATCGACACAGAGACAGGCTTCCTCCGCGACCTGTGCAAGGACATTGTGGCAGAGAAGAGAGCCGCGATGCTCCAGACGAAAGCCACGGCCGCAGAACTGGAAGCGGACATTCTCGGCACGATGATGCTAGGGGGTGACTTTAGTGATGATGAGCTGGTTGATCAGATGCTGACGTTCCTTGCTGCTGGTGTATGTCTTGACCCCACCCCTATACTGATTCCTAAATTTATGAAGGGCATATATACTAAATAGAAGACAGCACGAGACCACCGCCAGCGCCTTCACCTGGGCCTGCTACCTTCTTACCCTGCACCCAACATACCAGCCCCGTCTGCGAGACGAGATCCGCTCCCGTATTCCAACAGGATCGTCACCTATTACCCACGCAGACCTTGAATCCCTGCCCCTACTGAACGGCATCGTCCAGGAGGTCCTCCGCCTGTATCCCACCGTCCCGCTGACTCTGCGCGAATCCATCCGCGACACTACTGTCGCCAATACCGCTATCCCGAAAGGAACGAGAATTCTCCTCTGCCCGTACGCTATCAATCGCAGTCCAGAGTTCTGGGGCGAGGACGCGGATGTGTTCAGGCCAGAGCGATGGGTGGACACAGATAAAGAGGGAAATCAGGTGGTGAATGGACATGGAGGAGCCGGGACAAATTATGCTCAGATAACGTTTTTGCATGGGCAGAGAGCGTGTATCGGAAAGGACTTTGCTAAAGCAGAGTTGAGGTGTGCGTTGGCGGGAGTGTTGGGGAGGTATGAGGTGGAAATGAAGGATCCAAACCAGGTTATTCATATTGCTGGGGCGGTTACCACGAAGCCGGTTGAGGGGATGCATTTGAGGATGAGGAGGGTGGACGGGTGGTAAATACTTGGAAATTTGGGATGGATAGTATATAAATCTTATGAGTTATGCAAATAGTTACTCTTGTTAATAGTACCAGTCTATAATTTTATCAACGCATCACTTCTTGACCACTGGTCGACTCTTATGTCCCGGTCCATGTGCATGAGAATGCCCATGAGCATGAGCATAAGCATGACCATTCAACAGCTCACTCGCCTTTCTCTTCCCACTCTTCTCCCCCTTCACCTCCTCCTCATCTTTGATATCATCATCCTCCAAATCAGGCCAATCCTCCCATCCATCCTCCCAAATCCCCGCCATGATCTCCTGTTTCTCCGCCCTCTTAACCCCCTTCGTCCGCATTACCTTCTCCCACTTCTTCATCTCCTTCTTATCTAACAGACACTCATCAAGCAGCTTTTTAATCGCTGTCGTATCAATACCCTCCCCAATGAACACAATCTCCTGACGCCTATCGCCCCATTCACCCTTGAAGTCATCTTCAATAGACTTGCGCACGTCCGCATCCTCCGGCCATGCTTCGTCAGGTAGTTCGGCGAACCACCCGCCACCACAGCCTAATGTGAGCATGGCGCCGGCTTGACTCCATTCGCCGAATTGGTATGGGCGGGTGGCGAGCCAGAAGAAGCCTTTGGAGCGGAGAATGGGGGCGAGGATAGGGTCGGAGCGTTTGTTAGACAGGATGGTTTCGGGTGGGATGGAGGTGATGTCTTCATCATCATCTTCTTCTTCCTCGTCTTCGGTGTTGTCTTCATCGTCATCTTTCATCTCTTCATCATTATCGTCATCCTCCTCATCATCTTCATCATCTTCATCCTCGTCCTCCCCAGCCGCATTCTGCAAAATAATAAACTTATCATGCAGCAACTTGAACAGCCTGCGCGGATGAAACGGCCGTCTAGCCGTATAAACAAAGTTATTAATGCCATACCTGTCCACATTAGCCAACGAACCTAATCACGAAACAGAGAATTAGAAAAGGAATACATACTCAACCGTCTCCGGCTTCGGCGCCACTCTCTCCCCATTCCCCGTACTCAACAGACTCATCTCATGCAGACTCCTCAACCAACCGGCACCACTCGCCGCCTTAACGAAATCAAACCTCCCCGTGTCCAGAATCTCCCGCACATCAATCTTGGAGTACTTCGCCTCCATGACCTTCACAGCCGGATTAAGCAATTTAATCAACGTGTGGATCTTGTCCTTGGCAACCTTATCAACAAGATCAATTTTATTGATGATAATCACATCCGCAAACTCAATCTGATCGACCATTAGATCGGAGATGGTTCTCTCATCTTCCGGGATCACTTCCCCGGAGGTATATCTATCTGAGAGGAACTCCGCGGTATCGAGATTCGAGTAGAGATTGAATGCGTCGATGACGGTTACGGTTGTGTCAAGGGTGGTGAGGGTGTGGAGGCCGCCTTGTTTGACACTATACATACCAATCCATCAGCACACATCACGCATGTAATAAGAAGATGGGGGAAGGGACATACACATCCTCAATAACCTTCCTCTCCTCCACACTCAACACCTGCTGCTCAGCTCCACTCCCATCCCCATCCGCCTCCAACATCGCGGCCCCAAACTCCGCCGTGAACGTCTCAGCCACTTGCATCGGCTCACTAATCCCCGTGCTTTCGATAACGACGTACTCGACGCCATCTTGGGATGCGAGTCGTGCTAGCTCAGCGAGTAAGTCCCCGCGGAGAGTGCAGCATATACAGCCGTTTTGCAGCTGGATGAGGGATTCTTTTGTGTGCGAGACGGTGTGGTGGTGTTTGATTAGGGCTGCGTCGATGTTGAGACTATCCCTTTTGTTAGATGGTACGGGTATATAGATGATGGGTCATGTACCTGCTCATGTCATTGACTATAACTGCGATGCGGAGGCCATGGTCAGGCGAGAGGAGGATATGTTCGAGGAGGGTGGTTTTGCCGCTTCCCTAGTTAGGAGCCATTATATTAGATTTCTGTATATTTGAGGAATAAAGGGAGGGTGGGGGGAAGTACTAAGAATCCAGAAAGGAGAGTAACAGGCAGCTTTCTCCTCTTGGATGTAGGAGCTGGGCTCTCCAATGCATTGTTGGGGATTGTTGGGTGAAGGGATTCTTTGCCGGAGTCGATCATTTTCTTGAATTCTTTGTTACTTTTTGAGGGAATGAGAAGGATCAGAATCAAATGGAGGATTAGAGTAATATTGTCTACTTTATCTATGTTATATAGTTGTCACCACCAAGGTGTATATACTAATGTATACTACTTAGGGTTGGTTAGTTTTATCGACGTTGTGATTGGTTTGCACCCAAGGTCCTCTTGTCTACAAGGTAGTACTAGTAGATATTATGGTTTACCAAGGTACTCAATGCCGTACCACATTGCATTCTTTACTAATAAGAGGAATGTAATGAGTAAATAAACTTATTTCTATTTGTTTTACTACCATATGTGACGTATTCATCAACGGTAGACCCTAATAGACGCACCAGTATCTACCGCGTAACACTATCATCACTCACACAATCCACCCCAATTCCACCCTGGATATCATCACACACAATCTCCGCAGTTCCCTTGGGGCTCGTTATATTGACATTTGACAGGGTAATATTCGTGCACACCGCATCTG